TATTGTTAAGCCCTGTAATAGTAAAAACCACTTACAGAGAAAAAAATGGGCAAAGGATTTGAATAGACATTTCTCCAAGGAAAACATAAATGGTCAATAAACACATAAGATGTTCAACATCATTAGTTAGTAAAGAAATGCAAATCAAAGCCACCCTGAGATGCCATGCTATATCCACTAGGGTGTTCGAGATGAAAGACAGATAATAACATACACTGGGCAAATGGAGATAAACTGGATCCCTCATACGTTGCTGATGGGACTGCAAAATGACATAGCTGCTTTGGAAAAGAGTTTGGCAGTTCCTCAAAATGTTAAATGAAGTTACCATCTGATCTAGCAGCTCTACTCCTAGGTATATATCCAAGAGAAATGAAAACACGTCCACACAAAACCTTGCACATGAATGCTTGTAACGGCTGCATTATCCGTAACAGCCAAAAGAGAAACAATGCAAATATCCACCCACAAATGAATGGACAAACAAAATGTGGTACATCCATAAAATGGAATATTATTCAGCAATGAAAAAGAATAAAGTACAAGATGGCTAAATCCTGAAAACATTATGTTAAGTAAAAACTGCCGAACACAGGAGGCCACATACTGTATGATCCATTTATATAAAATATCCAGAATAGGCAAATCCATAGAGACAGAAAATAAATTCGTAGTTGCCAGGGGCTGGGAAGAAGAGGGAATGGAGAGTGACTGCTAATGGGTGTGAGATTTCTTTTTGGGGTAAGGAAAATGTTCTAAAATTAGAGAGTGGTGACAGTTGCACAACTTTGTGACTATTCTAAGAATCACAGAATTGTACATTTTAAAAGGGCTAATTTCATGGTATGTGAATTATATATCCATAAAGATGTTATAAAAATAGACTAAAAATCAAAATGGGAAAAAGTCAATAGATTTGACTACTTGAGTAGAATACTTGTTACATTAAAAACGTGTTATATTTCATGGAATTGAAGATGCCACTGACTGTACCATTAATTTCTATACTACTAAGAAGGCAAACCTCCCAAGATGGGGACTCCAATGGAGGAGTGTCACTAAAGCTGAGACACCAAGGGCCACACCCTCCATAAACCTACCAGGGGCACAGGAAAGTCGTGTTGTTCAGCCTTGGCAAAGGGTAAAGAAAGGTGGAAAATCTTCCTTCAAAATTCGAACCACTCCCTTATGGTCCATCTTAGGCAAAAACAAAAAACAAAACAAAACAAAACAAACCTTAGATAATTTAATTGGTTTCCATTTGAGGCCAATTTTAAGATAGCACTGAGATTGTCAAATGTGAAACAAAAGTTTTTCTTAAGACTAAAAAAGATTAAAAAAGGATTGATATCTTTAATATGTAGAATTCATATAAATCATTTGGAAAAAAATAAACACATAATATAAATGAGCAAATATCACAAAGCTCAATTCTCAAAGGAATGACAAGTGGCTAATAAACATGAATAATGGTTGAACTTCACCAGTACTTAAGAAATAAAAAATAAAACAACCAGATAACATTTTTAACTTATCAGTGTAGCATAATTTAAATAGAATAATTCTGGCTAAGGGTTAGAGGGTTCAGACTCTTGGAAGTTTACAGTGATATAATCCATCTCCGCAGCTGTGTGCATTTTAACTCCCAAGAACTCCTTCTTGAAATGTGTCCTAAAAAAATAATCATGAGTTTGGACACAAAATTTATCTGAAATGATGTTTATAAAATATTAATTAGAAATGGAAAAAGGAGAAACGATTTAAATGCCTAACAAAGGAAGAATAAGGACATTATGATACAGCCATATAATTTTAATGCTGTCTCCCAATTTTATTTTATTATATGTATACTTTTTGTTTTGCAATTTTAAATGGTATCTTTGTAGAATATATAATCATATGGAAAACTGTGTTATATTATGTGAAAAATAAAGGATATATACATAAAATCGTACACTTATCCTATTACCATTTTCATATAAATACACAAAGCACAGAAATAAAGATTGGTAAGAAGTATATCAAAATATTAGTAGTGGATATTTTTGGATTGTGGGATATTAAGTAATTTTCATTTTTCTCTCAATCTTTTTGTAGCTTCCAATATTTTTACATTGAAAGGGTTTTACTCTCATAAAAAATTAACTCAAAATGGATTAAAACTTAAATGTAAGACTTCAAACCATAACACTCCTAGAACCAAAAACACAAGGGAAAAAAGCTCCTTGCCACTGTTCTTGGCAACCATTTTTTGGATATGACACCAACAGTGTAAGCAACAAAAGCAAAAATAAACCAGGGGGACTACATCAAACAAAAAGCTCCTGCATAGCAAAAGAAACAGTCAACAAAATGAAGAGGCAACCTACGGAACTGGAGAAAATATTTGCAAACCAGATATCAGATAAAGAGGTTAATATCCAAAATATATAAAGAACTCATATAACTCAATAGCAAAAAAATCAAATAATCTAGTTAAGAAATGAGCAAAGGACCTAAACAGACATTTTCCCAAAGAAGACACACAAATGGCCCACAGGTACATGAAAAGATGTTCAATATCACTAATCACCAGGGACATGCAAATCAAGACCACGAGATATCACCTCACACCTGTAAAAATGGCTATTATCAACATGATAAGAGATAACAAGTCTTAGGATGTGAAGAGAGGGAACCCTGTGCACTATTGGTGGGAATGTAAATTGGTGCAGCCACTGTGGAAAACAGTGTGGAAGTTCCTCAAAAAATTAAAAATACAACTGCCATATGATCCAGCAATTCCACTTCTGGGTACGTATCCAAAGGAAAGGAAATCACAATCTTCAAGAGATATCTGCACTCCCATGTTCATTGCAGCATTACTCGCAGTAGCCAAGACATGGAAACAACCTAAGTGTCCACTGACAGATAAACGGATAAAGAAAATATGATACACACACACACACACACACACACACACAGCATTAAAAATAAGAAAATCCTGCCATTTGCCATAACATGGATGGACGTTGAGGGCATTACGCTAAGTGAGGTAAGTCAGACAGAGAAAGACAAATACTGTATGATCTGACTTATATGTGTATCTAAAATAATTGAACTCACAGAAACAGAGAATAGAAGAGCAGTTACTGGGGGCCAAGGGGTGGGTGAAATGGAGTGATGTTGGTCAAAGGGTACCAACTTCCAGTTATAAGATGAATAATCTTTGGCAATCTAATACACAGCATGGTGATTATAGTTAACAACACTATACTATATACTAGAAAGTTGCTAAGAGAGTAGATCTTAAACGTTCTCACCACACACACATATAAAATTTGTAATTATGTGAGGTGATGGATGTGTTAAGTAACTTAATTGTAATAATCATTTTTGCAATATATACGTACATCAAATCATCACATTGTACACAAACTCACACAATGTTATATGTCAATTACATCTCAATAAAGCTGGAAAAAAATTAAAAGCCTTCAAAAAGAAAGTGTTTTACTTTCATTAACAGGAAAATCCAACAAATATTATAAGAAAAATCAGTGTTATGTAAATATAAAATATGAACATTCTACTTTTTCTGTGTTTTTTTGGGGGGGGGCTAACTAGTCATGTTTTGGGTTATGAAATTGGACCACAGAATACCTAAATGATAAAATAGCATGTAATAATAGGGTTATTTTTCTTTTCACATGTTTAAAAACTTACTACATAAGTAACACTGTGGAAAACTAAATAAATATTGATGTAAGGACAGGAAAACTTCTATAATCCCATGATTCAGAAGAACTATTGTGCTTTGGGTTTAGTTTGCTCTTCTCGTTCTTCCCTAAAGGTTTAATGTTAGGGTATGGATTTGAGGTCTTTTCTGATGAAGGCATCTGCGGCTATACATTTCTCTCTGAACACCACCTTCACAGCAGCCCGTGTTTTCAGTACTGTACGTGTATTTTTCTTTCCATTCATCTCTAAGTTTTTTTTTCTGATTTTCCTGTGCTTTCTTCTTTGACCTATTGGTAGTTTAAGAGTGTGTTATTAGCCCGACCTATAATCCAGGAGATCGTGGTTCGATTCCCCAAAGGGCAAGTGGCCGGGTTGTGGGCTTGGTCCCCGGTAGGGGGCGTGCGGGAGGCAGCCGAGCAAAGACTCTCTCATCATTGGTGTTTCTATCCCTCTCTCCTCTCTCTGAAATCAATAAAGACATATTTTTTAAAAAAGAATGTGTTATTAAATTTTCCAGTTTTTGCTCGTTGATTCATTCCATTGTGATTAGAAAAAGAGAAAAGGGGACTAAAAAGTTCAAACTTCCAGTTATAAAATAAGTCACAGGGATGTAATATAGAGCATAGGGAATATAGTCAATAATATCACAATAACTATGTATGGTGACAGATGGTTACTAGACTTATTGTGAATCACTTCGTAAGGTATAAACATGGTGAATCCCACTATGTTGTACAATTAAAATTAATTTTTGTATGTCAACTATAATTAAAATAGATTTTAAAAGCTTCTTTGTATAATTTCAATCTTATTAAATTTACTGAACTTGTTTTGTGATCTAACATATGGTCTATCCTGAAGAATATTTCATGAGAATAACCACTGTTAACATTTTTATATATCCCATTAGACTTCTGTTGTGCATTTAGGTGTGCAGATCAGTAAGTATATATATTTGTGAATAAATCTGTAAGGATTAAATGCACCTTTAACACACCATTTTTATTGGTTGCAGATTATTCCATTATTTGTTGTATCATAATATATTCAGATATCATAGGGTTGAACATTTAGGCGGTGTCTAAGTTCTTCCACTACAAAACAGGACTTTAATGATTATGATGTCAATAAATTACTGACTGGGATGCTCAACATAACTACTAAGTGATTACTGCTTTTGGGAAATAAACTCAACTCTTCCAATAAAAATCTTGCAAAGATGCACATAGTGAAGTCAACATGTAAGTGCTAAAAATAAAACAATTTCATAAGATTCTTACCTTGAAGTTTCTTGAAAACTCTGGAATTCATAAACTTTAGAAATCTGTCTGCATAAAAGCTTGGTCTGTGAACCGAAACAGTGTCCTGAAAAGACAAATCAGGTATCACAGGTTTACCTCTCAGACAGTTCATTTCAAGCTCGAAGAAAGATCGATGCAGTTGGCTCTCTGTTGGCCAAGGCCCTTAACCAAAAGGTGTGGGCATCGAGAGCCAGAAAAGAGCAGTGTCTTGGGTCCCGTGGGGCCCACGAGTTGGGCTCAGGGAGCAGGCACAGGACTCAATCTGAGCAAAGATCCTAGATACTCAAGAGGAAATAAAGCATTAAGAGGGCAGGCGAGAGACAGCAAAAAGACTGCTTTATAAACCCAAACGACTAATCCTTATTCCACTGTGCGCCACGAGGGGCTTTTCAATTCTTTTCTACATACAGGCAGCTAGTGCCTCAAGTCATCTGGAATGAAGGGTAACACTTTTAGTCAGGAACAAAAATTGGGGACATAAACAAGCAAAACACCCCTAATGTAAGAGTGATATCTAGCACCCTCCCCCCCCAAAAAGTTTGCTGGTTTCATCTCCCAGTAATAAGGTGCATAGACACTGGGAAGATTCCTAGGAGACAAGGCTGACTGATAAGCCCCGTTACACTGAATTATCTGCTAATTAGATAGAACTGAATTGCATTAAATTGTTAACTCAATTCTCTCATGCTTGGTAGGAGTCTTTAGGACTGAAGGGGCAATTTATTACAGATCCAGGAAAGGAGATTGATGAAGGAGATAATTCTGTATGTTTATTCAGTAATCATTTATTTACTATCCAAGATATATATTCTAGAAATAGTGTATTTGCTTATTTAATGCTCCATTTTGATTCCAGGTTTGTGGATTCCAATAAGAAAACTTCTAAAAATATGTTTCGATACTATCAAGTGTCTGCGTGGATTCAGAAGACAAAACACACATTGGACCAAAGGTCCAGAGACCTGGTGCTGGTGTTGGTCCCAGCTTTACAAAGCTGTGTGATGGTGGGAAAAGAGTGCCTCAGTTTCTTCATCTGTAAAACAGGGTGTTAACAGGATGCGTAACGTAATTCTGTAATCAGCAAATTAGGAAATACACTGGATAGAGGAACCCACTTTGGCCAAGTTATAATGGTCCTGTAGACTATCGGTGATGCTGTAAATGTGGTGGGAAACTTCCCATTGGTTTGACGTGCACTCTCCCCAGTATTCTGGCAGCTCCTGTCTGAAACGGACACATATTCCCAACAAGTACAGTAACTGAGAAATATCTTAGGGTGCAAGGTGATTAAGACTCCCCCCTGCCTTCCAAGGGAAGTTGGAATGTGCTTCTCTTTGGTATGAAGAAACCTTGTTTAAATAAGAAGCATGTTTGTTAACAGACAATAAGTCTTAATTATTGCTTACAATTTCACAAATATATAATCAGCACAGAGAGTGTTATCAAAAAAACCCAACACCAAAAAAGGAGATATGTTTTAACTAGACAAAGGTAGAAGCCCCTTGGAAACATGTGGCCAACAGAGGACTGGGCCATTCAGCTCAATAGTCTCATCTGGTAACAGGGAAGCAGTGTTGTCCTGGAAAACAGAAAGGGAATGTGAGCAGGAGTGTTCTCTCCTTCCCACGTCTGAGGCATTATGAAGTCTCCACTTTTCTCACCTGAAAGGGAAAAATAACTCTTGGCCTTTGAAAAGAAGGAATATTTTATCTGAATAATAAGCCTAAGTTTAATTCTTAGAAACAAACTGCCATTCCTTAGCGTGTGGACCCAATGCAGGCTTCACGCTGAAAGGCCATTACCAGTCTTCCTCAGAGCTGAGTGCGCGTTCTCTCAGGAGAGGATCAGCGCCGAAAATTCATCCCTTTTCAAAGGAAAGCGTCTGCTGACATCCTTTAAAAATGTGTGAGCAGGTCTCTGACCAAGGTATTCTTTGGAACTGTCACTTCAAGTTATTAACTGAGGGAGGCTGAGGCCAGTGAACGTTCTGTTGGCAGCAGGAAGTTCAAGTCTAACACTGAGATAGGAACACCCATGTGCAGGGGCAGGGAATGTGGGA